AGTGATGGATTTAAAGCCACTGCAACCAGGTACAGAACTTGCACTGTAAAAACTGATGACCCACTTCATCTCCTTATACTGTCAAAATAAATTTACCCCCTGAAGCAGCTCTTTGCCAATAAATGAATCTTATCTTAAAGTAATATATAAATACATCTGCCTGTCTGTGCTGCAATCTTTAATGTGTCTGTTTTTTATTTAAAGCATACATATACAAAGCCAGTGCAGCTATTCAGTGCATCTGCAGCCTATTGAAGAAATGGTCTTATCCAGTGCAGCTCCACTTCTGCACTACAATCATTTACACCAGGAGCTCAGTGTGCTTTCGCACTTCTTTCCCCTATATACTGTGTCTCAGAGAAGGTGACAAATAAGTAGCCAGACATGTTGGTGCCCTGTTCCCTGGTCCTCCCTGCGTTACCTCTTATTAGGGAACCAGCGGAGGAACCGATCAAACACGAATCCTGCCTCTCTCATCATTACCTGCAGGAAAACATGGTCATAACTCAGACAGCAGCCGCAGAGGAGCAGGCGGGAGGAGAAGAGGGAGGATGGGGGGGTTCAATTCGCACAGAGCTAACAAGTTCTTAACTGAGAGAGAGGAGTGTGAGAATGGCAGGCAGGGGGGAGGCGAAAGCAAAGAGGTATAATATTAATAATTATTTGTATAGCACTTATCTAAAGGTAACAAAGTGCTTGACACAAAGAAAAATTCAAGGCAAAGTGACGAATGAATTATAATACAAGGTATTCTGTTCAGTTAAAATTTAAGAGCAAAATCATGACATAATAAGGTCAAGACCTTATCTTATATCTTAGACCTTAATTTATAGAGAAACCCAACAGTTCCCACAATGAGCGGCACTTTGGCGACTGGGGAGAGAAAAAACTCAGCTATTGGAAGAAACCTTTAGCAGAACCAGTGTGGGCGGCCGTCTGCCTCGGCTAGTTGTGGCGAGCAGAGAAAAATGAGGAGGAGAGGTGGGTGGCAGAGGGAGTAGAAAAGAAAGAAAGAGAGATTGGGGGGGGGGGAGAAAGAGGTCCGGAACATCACATTCGAACTCTGTCAGACTGGTTGTTGTAATGAAAATTATAGTATAAGTCTTCAATTGTACCTTGGCGTCATTAGGTGTTTCAGCCTTTTAATCACTGTAATTGTAAAATGCCCAACCTGAGGGTACGCTGAGGCTGAAGGTGAATTTGAATGGGCCCACTCAGTAAATCAGACGTCAGTACCTCTGTGCCTTTTTTAAACTTAGAGAGACGAGGAGATGCTGGAAGGTGGTGGTGAGAAAATGAATGGATGGGGAAAATGGAGAAGTGGTGTCGAGTGTGGGCTTACGAAAAGGAAAATGTGTGAAAATGGAAGCTAGAAGGAAACTTCAGAAGGGCTGTGGGGAAAGTAAGAAGTGAAAATAGGAAAAAAGGAAAATGTATTAAAAAAAGAAAGGAAAAATAACAGGGTTTGCACAAATTGGCCTTACAATGAAAAAGGCTGAGCTGAAGCTGGAAGCATGAATATTGCAAAAGGAGATTTAGCGACAAAGCTTTGCCTCAAAGAGGCTAAAAGACAGACAGGCAGTTGGGGTTACACTAAACCCAACTGGGTGACATGTGGGGGGGACAGATTACCCCTCATCCATTGTTTACATCTGTTAAGTCTTTACAAAAAGCCAGGGAATCTGAAGAAAACACAAAAACTCATTGTGACATGACCATGCTTCACTCTGTGACATGTTTATTTCTGTATGATACATCAGAGGATCCACAGGGATCGGGACAATATTCAGTTATGAATTTATGGATTAACCGTTATGACCCTATTACGAGATTACAGCTATGATTGATCTGTCTTACATCAGACAAATATTAAATTGAAAGCAGTGAAATATATTGTGAACATCAACCTCAGGTCAAATGTTGAGCACAGGTTGTGCAGAATAAAGGGCGTGAAACAGACTAGATGAGTTTCTCAATTACCTTCTCACACAGCTATAAGATTTACGCTCAAAGTCACAGAAAGGCAGAGCTGTGCAAGAAGACTCAACAGTAACTGTACAAAGTATTGAATTGAGACGATATTTCAGTTTTCAAAAACTTTATAGAAGCTTGTTTTCACTCTGTCAGCATGGTTTATTGAGTGTAGATTGAAAAACTTGAAATGAATTGTAGATTTCATTATTATTGTAATTAATATTGTTTCCCTAAAGATTTTTCTAACATTTTGCACTGTAAGCAAAAAACTTTTATATAAAACAATTTAAGACTAAGTTCAAAGAAATTCAGATTGCAGTAGACAGGGGTTTTTATCGCGTCCGGCTCTGATCGGTAGTGATGGATTCTTATTCTTTATTTTGGCAGTCTAGGATCTGATGCTGCACTTTGCCTCATGACGTAATAATGTGCATTGAACTTCTCACCATATGTGCATTAACAGCCTTAAAAGTTTGTGTACTTTTACATCTGAAAAATGTGCAGCAGCATTTTTTGTTCTTCACATTTTGCAAGATGGAGGACTACACGATTCTATTAAATCCCCACTATGCAAATAGTGCTGAATCCCTCTACTGGCCCTGGACTGTAATAACATGCCAACAGTCACTTCATGAAACTCCTCTTCTGGCAATGGGAAAGGAGACAATCACCTTTTTAGCGGGTTTATCTGTGTTTATAAAAACACATGTATATTTTCTAATTTTGAATATTTTTAACATTCATTTGTATATGGTATAAATTGACTGTATTAGTAAATTTGAAAGGGGGGTGGCAAAATGTATTATCATTTATTATTCAGGGATTTGGACAATGATATAGAAGAGCAGGCCAGTGGAAAAAGGGGTAGCTATGAGCATGTCACCTGGAGAAATTGTTGCTGTACTAATAAAAGGGAAACACTGATTATAATGATTGTTGTTTGGTATAAAGTATTTCAAGGAGCAACTCTTGATGTTGCTATCAGGAACACTTAATCATTTTCTGTAGCAGTAATAAACGCTCTTGTGCCTCGACGATGGTTCAATATTGTCACAACCTTTTTTTATCTGTTTATTTTCATGAAATGGAAAAAGGCTTAGTTAAAATCAACAGCATTTCATATTCCCTGTGAAAGTAGTCACTAGAAAATCAATGTCTCAGTCGCTACATTAACCACAAATATTCTGACTTTCTGCCATGTTGTCGCAGTTACACCCTCAAGAGGGGGGGGAAAGGGAGAAACCCTGTATTGTATTGTGTTGGATGTTGAAATCTCAGACAGATACCACTAAAACCTGGAAAAGTACAACCAGAGCCACCTTGCATGGTAAGATAACACAGAGTATAAACCAATCCTTCAAATTCAGTGTAGCTCTCAGCTCAGGGACAAAAAAAAACCCCTTAATCAAATAGTGCTGACCAACCAAACAGACAGGCTTGACCGAAAGGATTTCAGATGTCTCAGCATGTGTTCGTATTGTTGTAGGCAGGTTGCTTTAGAAAAAGTCCTCTGTGCGTATGTGTGCACAGGGATGCATTGTAGACACAGTGCTGGCTCAGTCCTTTCATTGTCAACATTGCCCACACGTATCCTCAAGTATCTCAAGCAAAACATAAAAGTTTCTGACAAAAAAAAATGAAACACAAGTAATCTTTGCAAAAGTTGAAAGAAGCTTTGGTGCTGTGACAAGCTGGTAACGAAAATACCCTTAACCTGAAGCAGAAACTGTTTTAACGGCATTTTACAGGATGTTTCGAGGTGATGTCCCCATATTTCCTGCATGCAGTGGTATACTGTGTATTTGTCTATTTTAGGAAAGTTTTTCATGTATATAAAGTTGTGTGTTTGGACCCCAGGGCTTAGTTCTTTTCCTGTGTCTTCCTCTCTCATTATACTTCCTTTTCGATCTCATTAGTTGGGTTCACAGTGCTTGTCAGTGCCATCGAGGGGACACAGATTATGCTATAAAGTGCTTTGCTGAAGTGTTTTGCCTTGGCTAAAATAATAACTTTTATGTTATTGTAAAAATCGTTCCCTGGATTTTTCTCATGATCCACGAACCCAATGAACATCCGGCTCAGTATGTGTCAGAAACACTCATGAGTTTTATAGTTGAGAATGTGCCACAGGATGTAGAGTTGATGAGAAGCCTGCTCCCTGAGAAGATTCATTATTTCAATTTCCCATGGTTGTTATTGTGGCAAATTTCCTTTCCCGTACTTGCCTGAACTGATATTGCATTTCCCTGACCTCATTTCTTACTGTCATTAACATCCACTCTTGGTGATAAATTCAATTTATACAGGGTAAATATATATCAAGAGGAAATGTATCCATGCTTAAGTAACAGAGGAAGATGCTACTGCTGATGAAAATGCATACACAGTGTTTGATATTAAATAAGTAATTTTGACATTAATAATAACAGAGTCCTGTAAAATATAAAAATCAGCTATCAGTAATGAGTTGTAAAAATATTTTAAAGTACCCTGTTTTCCATTTACAAACAAACAAATAAAAATGAATTAACCATAACATGTATTTCCACATTATCTTGGCAGTGTTTTCAGTGTATGTTCTTCAGAGAACGACTGAGCTAACATTAGCTCTTCACTTTGATGCTTACAAATAATTCAAGCTCAAAACCCTGACCCCGCTCATTGTTCTTGCTAAACTAAATAAGAGGTTAGTTCTGTGCTCTCCACCGATGAACTTATACATTACATTCTGCCTCTGCCTGCTGCACCCCCCCCCCATCCGAACACTCTGGAGAATCCTGTGCTGTTTTGAACACGTCTGAACAGATAATCTCCTGCTCCATTGTTCATTTGTGAAAGGCAGAAAGTCAGGATTGTGCAGACACGACAATGTGATCTCAACATGAAAACAGATTATGGAATTAAACATAAATATTCCTCCAAAAATGAACACTAAGATTTGAATGATGAAATGTTATTTGCTATTGAGTTTTAGTAATTTCTGTTTGTAATCAATCTTGTTTATTCATGTGACTCTGTCTCCCTAGTATCAAGATGGTGCTGATGTGGACCAGTGGAGACACCTTTAAAACGGGCTACTTCCTGATCACCCAGGCTCCTGTGCAGTTCTGGACATGCGGCCTGCTGCAGGTCATGGTCGACATAGCAATTCTGTTCCAGGTTTACTACTACAGCCGCTACCCACAGAAACCTGTCTCCCACACCGTCTCCCACACCACCAGTGCCAAAGCCCTCTGATAGCCCCCCCCCCGCAATGCCCTCCGAGGTCACTGCAGTGAGGAAGCCCTATCTGTGGACATGTATCAACCAAAGCACCTTGAGATGATGTGGGCTGCTCTCTGTCACCTCTGACTGTACATTAAGACACGAACACAGCCAAATAAATAAGTCATGAAGATACCTGGTGGTGGTGGTGGTGTCTGCAGTGATACCTGAAGGACATGTTACACATAAACTTGACCTTTTTGTTTTATTCATTATCTTGCTGACATCTTCTCAATGGGACAGTATGCTTGTGTCTCGGTTTGCAGACATCTCAAAGAATATATCCTTGAATCAATCTGTGCATGTGGAAAATGTTATGCACATGAAATATATATGAACTGCCGATGTATGCACTGAAATATTGGGCTCAAGGAAAGGCGGACCAACTTTTTTTTTTTTTGTCCACATACACTGATGATTGTTGCATGGACCCTCTGCCTTAAAACACACACATTCAAACATGGCTTGCTGCATTACCAGCAGTATAAATGTATGAATCTTAGACTGTATATGAAGATGTACGACATGACTGCTCCCAACAAGTGAGGCCAAAGCCTTTCGATGTCACTCTGGTGGCTGGCTGTAGTATCGTTCATACATCCTGCGTTCCTCTGTTTGTGGGTAGGACATGGACCAAACTAAAAAGACAAATAACTTTTTTTCTGACTTTTTTTCTTCTCTTCAGTGGTTTTTTATTAAACTAATGTTTGTTTGGGTGCACGTTTCTCCATTAAGGTTATTCTTTTGAAATGTTTTAGTTAGTTGATGATATAGAAACGTGGTGAAAACGTCATGATTACGAGACTGACTCACGATTGGTCAAGCACATGTATAAGTGAGACCTCGATGCCACGGCTCCATCCACCGGTCGCTGCTGCTCGGAGTCTGGCTCTAAATGTGCAAGACGGCAGCATTCATGATATTTTGGCTTCATTTCACTATACTGGGATGAAGAGGAGAGGCCTTGTCCATATTTTATACAGTCTTTGGTTTGAATCAATCAAAAATGACTGAAAAGTTCTTTGTTATTTAGTGGTTTTCCTCAGCACAGTGGAGAAATGTTGCTCACACTACCACCTATGAAATACATACCTATGTGCAATCAATTTTTAGCAAAAGAAGAAAACACCTAAGGGTTTGGAGATGCAATGCACTGGTTTGCAAGTAAGCATGAGCCTCAGTGGCCTTCAGACTGACAGAGATGGAAACAATGTCAGATAAGGTGTCGAGATGAAGGAAACGTGAGGAAACCACATTATCATCGTGACCATTTTTTGACCTGCATGAGTTTTTCAGGAGCTGATGTCAACGTTTTTGTACTGAAGTTGTTCATTGTTTATCATTTTGATAACTGTCACACCATGAACATTTAAAAGAACAAAACAAAGGAACCATTTGGATCCTGGATCCCAGAGTTTTTGAAGCACATTCAGACTGAACACCAAAGTAAAGCTCAGCAGCACACACTGTCTTTCAAGCGTGGAAATGCAAATTTAGTCTGGGACAAGGACGAGTCGTCACAAGTTAAAAATGTGTTCTTTTAAGTCAACCGAAGCCAAACTTTGTTTTTATGAATCCATGCCATACAGGTAGATGAAGAATAGAAGGAAAATAGAGACACTGGAGTGACCTGCTGAGTTCTGAGATGACAGCTGTCACAACACAGATACACTATACACACACACACACACACACACACATTCAATATAAAAACAGGGTGAAACGTCATGATTGACAGTTTAGACTGACGATTGGTTGAGTGCTCATGAGGGCAGTACCTCTAAATGGCAAAATCTGGGATATTTTTTCATTAATGGACGGTGGTTGGACATGGAGACGTGTCAGCCATCTTTATATACAGCCTATTTGTAGTGCCACATTTGGAGTGGTTGGTTAACATGTGAAATCAGATGCAGATAAACAGTATAACTGCTTTTTATCAACATCAAGTTTTGAAGTAACTGGGAGTGTAGTTCTGTTCTGTCACTTTTTTAGTACTTTTTGCCAAGTGGGAGTGGGAGATATCGTAGCCTGTGCCGAAATACAACCAGGGAAAACCTTTTGACCCCATTTACTCTGATTTTAAGTCTGAACAATATGAGAAAGAAATGGAATTATTTTTGCAATTTTGTAAAACGCTGAGGTGTAGGAATGCAGCAGCAAAAGAAATCCTCCAGTTTAGGAGAGGTTCACTTTAAATTCAAATACTTGAATATAACCATATCCTTTACATCGCCATACTGCCAATGGATATTATTATTTATATTCAATAACATCCCCTGATGCTCATGACTGTGCTTGAGTATTTCTTCAGGCAGGGTGTTCTCATCAACATTTTGTAGTGAGATATTCATTTCCTGTTGCAGTGAAGATTTTTGATGCTTTGTAATGTTTCTCTGGGGTGTGGAGGAAATGCCAAACCCAGGCGATGTACGTCCGCCAGTCCTTCAGTGAACTGTGGACCAGAGCAGACCTGATTCTGCCCTCGTCATCTACACTGGGACGACACAGGAGTTTTCTCTAAATATTTTAATTAGGACATGATGGATGACTCCTTGGTATTTACCACCCCGTTTCTTTTGTCATCACCTTTTTTATAATCTTAAAATGTCAATATTACATTACATGTCATTTTGCAAACGCTTTAATCCAAAGCGACTTACAATATAAGGGATGGTTCTCTTCTTTATTCAGGCTGCAGTGAGGGTTGTATGGATAATCTGTTTCACTCAAACTACATGATTTTACTTGTATTTTTTACCTGCTTTGTATAATTTGTGTAATGTTTCCCAATAGGAACCACCCAGTTTCACATTGTCCTACCTGTGAACCCCACACTTAGTTTATATTCCAAAATATATTTCATGTATGCAGTTTTTCCATTTTTACATGTGTTTGTATGTATTTCGTTTTTCTATTGAAATGCCAGCAGCAGCTCACCTCAGTAAGTAACTCTACCAACACCTTTTGGCTGTTTAAACACCATGTACAGTCTGGAATCTAACCTGGCATTGTCAGCCAATTAAAGAGGATGGGGAGAAGACTCAGGCGTCATGTGTTGTTTGATGAAAATCTTTGTGTCATTTGTCGTTTGCAGACAACTCCACCGTTGCTCCAGTCAGTGGCGCAGCTCTGGCAGACGTCAATTGTCAAAAGAAGACCACCAGGCGCGCTCAGCTCTAGGCATATGCCATCTGAAGCAATAATAAGCACATAAATTGTAATGTGCCGGGCTCTCCACTGATAATAGATGTACCAGCCAGACGGGGGCAAAAAGATTGATATGAAAAGCCATTTTCTAACTGCAGAAACAGATTCATGATTCTCTTTCGGAGTCATTCAATGTGCAGTTAACCAAGACTGCCTCGTATGGATTAGCCTTGAAAAGCCTTTGTGCATTGTTTCTTTCTTTTTTTGTTGATGTAAGTTGTTTTACCGTTGTAATCAGCTCAACAAAAAATCATGACACGAAGAATCTTTAATACATACATTTGCTGTACATGAATCTCAACAGCCCTCGCTGACAGTGTGCTGAAACTTTAATCTATAACGTCAAGTGAGCATCAGGATGCTGTGACACAAGCGTCCGGATAAGAGTCTGAATTGTGCTCGATGCCTCGGGACCGTGTGTGGGTGTGAAAGAGCTTCCCTGTGTGATAAATACTGTCTGGCACTATCTTTTGAAAATCCTCCAGTGCCTTGTGCTGAACACGTATTTGTTCTCTTCAAAAGTGCATCGCTGCATCAGACCAGATGTAACGGCAGGAACTCTTCTAAAACTCACTATCTCGTATACTGCTACCTAGAGAGCTGCCCCTCTTAAAATAGCTTGTTTATTTTTTGTCTATATTATCAGATAAATGGCAGTATACTGTGAAAGTGGGGTCATTTAATAGTGAATTTACGGGGCATTTACAGCTCTGCTCAGCTTTATGGGGCTTAAACTTGTCGATTTTTTTGTCCGAACCATAACTTTTACTGTTTTAGTTCCCCAGTCCGATAGTAATGGGACAAACTCCATTGCTTAAACTCTGATTACTCCTCTGTAAAGAAGCCAGGATGCTTCTTTACAGAGGAGTAATGCTACACAACATTGCAAATTGTAGGTTTCTTTCCTCCACCAACGAACCCATTAACCTTTGGAGTGGATTTATTTAAGTTTTTTTTATCACTTTCTTTAACATTGTGTTTGTTTTTTGACATTTTTTGTGGATTTCTCAGGAAATAATGCAGAAATGCATCTGATGGCTCCTCGCCTGTACAACAAAGTATATGAACACCACTTGAAGTCCAAAGCAAAAGTGAACTAAGTTAGCAACAAGCTGGTGAACACTGTGCAGCTTTTAAAGCTATAAGAGCCAAATGTTGATTTTTATATTAATATACAATACAATTCCCACCTTTGATAGTACTTACTAGTAATTACTGCTGCAATGACTGTCAATTTATTTATTTATTTTACTCATATTATATTCATACTCATTTTACTACATATGGTCATATTTATTATTTTAGTCATGTCAAACAAATACTGCAGTATTGCACCTTGTCTCTTTGTGTTCTTACTCTCTGTGAATGTTGACCTGTTGCTGTGACACAACAATTTCCCAACTGGAATCAATAAAGTTCATCTAATCTAATAAAACAAGAATAAATATTGACATTTCATGGCAAGATATATGACTACAAACTAACATTGTTCTGTGTCTACTTCAATGATAACTGTGAGCTAGTATAATATAAATATTTGATGGATATATATATATATATCCTTGTACAGAATGCAATGTCTTAAATATTCTCTCAGTGACTTGTTATTGATAGTTGTGTCTTTGTAAACAAACTTCGATGTGAAGTCTGAGATGAATCTCTGAATATCAACTATGAAGCGAATTCAGTTCAGGGTTTATTCTTCCCCCCTATTCTTAAGCTTCACCCCACTGAGCTTGAGAGTGAAGAGGAGGACCCTCTGAACAGAATTAGTCTAAGTTCAACACTTCATCGAGTGCACTGAAACAACAGCACTGATTCATTATTCATTACCGGGGAAAAACATGAACGAAGCCTCAGAAAAAAACAGTTTAAGATGTTTTTAGTGCAGAAGTACAGCACGCACTGTCTTGCAAATTTTCGAGCATCCTTGTGTGTATTAAATTGTTAAATCAAAGCATCTCCACATGGGACTGTGTTCATTATAATCTTTATTACATTTTTCAAAAGAAGCCCTTCCTCAGGCTATGGACTCATGACGCAAAGCACAAATCCCTTTCAATTGGATTTCTATTCAAATTATGTCTCTCCGCACCATTCACTACTCATCAAAACAATACTTCATTAAAACCTAAATATAATAGTTAGATAGTGGAGTGTTCTGTTTAATATTTTCATGCTTTTAAATCATTCAGTTAATCCAGTGACTGCGATTCAGAGTTGGCACGCTATACAGGTCCTCACAATCTGTGCGGCATTTTAAAAATATCTGAACCTAATTTGCACTCTCAGGCACTCACGACTTTTGATTGGTTCCAACTTGACAACAATTTAAGGAAATGGCTTTTTAATGTGTCACTTCTAAGTGCAGAGCCCTCAAGTCAAGGAAAATGAAGTGCTGTATTTGCAGTTGTATGAGGAAATAATGTAAAAGTTATTTGCAACACCTGAAATGGGTTTAGACTTCAGCCTTTCATGTCTGTTATTTTCATTGCCCTAAGGAGCATGTATAATATTTCCAACCAGTCAGCCTCTTTGAAGAGAATCAACCTTGTGGTAAGTGTTAATTTCTCTGACTTAAATACTAAATAAAGGAATAGGCTACTCTGAATTCAGCCCAAATGCAATGAGAGGAGAGGCACCAACATAATGTCGTCTCCACTTCTCACATGGATTGATTTTCGAATGTGCTATTCTGGGAATTTAGAAAACCCTAACTCTAACCCCCCCACGACCCTTAAAGGATAAGTGGTATAAATTGTGTCTCAATTCGAGGGCTACATGCTTTGGAGGTAGCATTTTGTAGACCAATTGCGTAACAGCGGCCTGACGAGGCTGTCCCATTTCCAAGGCTCCTTCAAATGCTGCCAACAAATACATCCTTTTATCCACGGGTGGATCGTTCTTGACCCTATCCAACGATTCATTGCACTTTAGTGACGAACCGTTTTCAGAGGTAATGGTGCTGGCAAGAGATTCCACTGCTTAGGTATCAAGCTTCAACTCAACCAAAAAGCTAACAGCACGTAACTTTAGATCTATTGTTAGGCAACAGCAATAAGGGACAGACGAGCTGGTGTCGACAGACGAGCCTCTATAGATCAGACAGTTTATTTTGGTTGAGCCTTCGTGGTGTACGTGACCCAAAAAGACCAATAATGGACAGATGGATACACAAACGTGAGGGGTAATCAAAATCCTTACCATTCATCTTCTATGACCAACTTACCCAATTATATATCAATAACAATACCAGATGTTAGAACAGTTTTGACCATTGCTTTGCATCTTTAGCAAGGTAACAACCAAACTCTAAACTGAGTAAACTACATGAGCTGTTGAAAACTGTAAAGTATGGTTAAATGTTTTTTTTAACTAATATTCCACAGGATGAACTGTCATTCAAAACCAAATCCTGAAAACATTAACACTGTGAATAATGCTAGTTGTATATAGTCATATGTCTTATGTTGTAGGCTGACATTTTGGGAAATACGATTATTTTCATAATTAGAAAATTGAAACCACTCTCAACGGTACTTTCACTTGTGTAAAAAGGACAGTGTTAGATTATTTCTCGGTGTGAGGAGCTTTGTCGACGCTATGTTAAGATAAACTAATCTTGGCAGTAGCTTCATTTTTTGCAACAAATAAAATAGCAAACAATTATTTTAAAGCATGAGTATGTGAGCTTTCATGAGACAGATGAGAGTGGTATCAACCATCCAAATCAACAGAACTTCCCAGCACACTGCAGAGCCCTGAGGCCCAGATACATACCAGTTCTGTTATTGGTTCATTTGGTTCATTTTTTCTCCTTGGTTGCAAGTAAATATGCTGACATCATTATGTACATGTCAGACTTATATAAGTGTCCAACATACAATTTACAAGTTATTTGGTGTTACCATAAATAATACAGAGGGGATGGAGATGATAATTAACTGCCTGTCTGAAATCTCAGCAAACACCTTTATTTAAGTCAATCGTCTCAAAGGCAGCTACATGAGAAACGCATGAGGTGTGAATAACATCTGAATGTGATGTTTTAGTAGTTTTACCTTTTGCCCAGACTGTCTATCAGTCTGTCAATATCATAAACTTGAGTTGTTTAATCATGGATATTGTATCATCTTCCATCTTTTAAAGTCAGACCTCTGCAGCTCTGTAAACTTCAGGAAACTCTGATCAAAGCAGAGACCTAAAGCTCCAGAGGAGAAAATCTCCTGGTTCCCAGTCCCGCTGCTGTCATCTTTGAAGTCCCAGCCGAGTGTCACATCCTCCCAGGCTGCAGCTTGAACATATAGGCAGACAGTCAGAGAAGCTAGGTTTTCACAGACGCTCTAATCTCAGCAGCCCTGTGAGCAGCCAAGGACTTTCTCCGCTGCACAGATGAGGCGGTGGCCTCCGCAATGCCGTGGTAGCTGTCCGTCTCCTGAGAGTCCTCGCTGTTCTGGGACTTGGTGCTATCCTGCGAGTCTGGCTTCTGCCTTGATGCGCGGCTCTGCTCCTCCTTCAGCTCCAGGTAGGAGCGAGAAAAGGTGTGAAAGATGGACGTGACAGGAAAGGCCATGAGGAGAATGCCGCTCAGGATGCTGCTGAGCGCTACCACCTGGCCAGGGATGCTTCTGGGCACCATGTCTCCGTAGCCCACCGTGGTCATGGAGATAACTGCCCACCAGTAGCTCCCAGGGATGCTGGTGAACTCCTGTTTGGCACCCAGTTCACTTTCGGCTAGAAACACCAGTGGGGAGAAAAGGGCCATGGCCACACACAAGAACAGCAGCAGCAGGCCGAACTCACGAGTACACCTCCTCACTGTCAGACCAAGGGTCTGCAAACCCAGGGAATGTCGGGCCAACCTCATCACGTAAAAGATCCGCAGAGCTCGCAGGACTCTGAGGACTAACCCCACCTTCTCCAGGTAGTTGTTCCCTGACCCCACAGGTTTCCCTCCCACCGACAGAGAGTCCACGATGAGCGTGATGTAGTAGGGGAGGATGGCCACCACGTCGATGACATTTAGAGGCGTGCGCAGGAACATGCACTTGCTCTGCGTCTGAATGAATCGCAGCAGGAACTCCAGGGAGAACCAGGCGACGCAAACTGTCTCCAGCACGAAAATGTTATAGCACCTCTGGGAGCACTCACCCTGCAGAGAAAAAAAGACATACATTAGTGGCTGTATTACATTATGCCACAGCGATGACAACTACAAAAGCAGTTCAGATAACTATGATCTAGAGACGCAGAGTGGAGTCAGTAATTAAGTCTGTTTCAAAGCCTATTTGATTGGTGGGCTCGACATTGACAGCGGAGGTTTGGTGCGTTTGATCTCAAAGCTAAAAGGTGAGTCTATTCTCTCACAGAACAAAACACAACAGAGACGGTGCTGAAAGATTCATGGAGCATAAAACAAAGGCTTAGATTATCTCATCTCGTAAACGTCTCACACATCAAACCTGAGCAATCAAGAGGTGAACGCTGTGTGAGCCCCACATGAGCTCTGCTGTCGACTCTTAAAGCCACCGCTGAAATATTCTCCCCTTTACTCTTTTGATTATGACTTTTCTCTTACCAGGACTGCAGAAATAGGTTTCATAAATATTTTAGAATATGATTATAAGAGATTACATGGTTATTAAGAAAAAGTCACCCCTGGAGGAGACTGGGGGGGAAAGTGTAAGAAATTGCTTTTCTTTTTCTCTGCATTTACTTCAGGGTTATTAATGACTAGTCTTCCACTTCAACTCCTCTTCCTCCATCAGCGTGTTACCGTTGTCGAAATCCCCTTCACTACGGGAAACAACAGCATGTGCAGGTTCCGTGATATTGGGTTGTTAAATTACTTCAAGAGCAACATGCAGCTACCGAATTGCCTGTGATTTTACTGTTATTCTCCTTCAGAGCTCACTGGACTCAGGAGGAGCAGACTTCACCTCTGGGGCACAATCACCAAATTAATGATTTTTAATCTGTAGAAGTCATAGTTGTCTTTTAGTGTCTGTTGTGGCCTTTTCTTTTTCAGGGGGATTAGCCATTTTATTGTTGCAAATTGAGCTTAGTGCCACACAAGACAACTGCAATGATACATGGCTAAAAAATAGTCTGCAGGATAATTAGGTGTAGATTTATCAAAATATGGGGAGATCAGAGGAACCCCTCTATGGTTGTATGCCTTCATCAAACAGTATATTTTTAAGGCTACAAACTTTTTCTCCAGACTCATATGAGGTCATGACCTTTCATTTTTGATCAATAAAATGTAATCACTTAATGATGAGGTTTACAACTTTAAACATTTATATCTTTCCTGAATGTCATATAATGTAATATAGTGAAATATGTATTACTTAACCATCTTAAATACTTACAGACTTAGTTCCCTGCTGCGTTACGTGGCTCTGATACAACAAATCCTGAGGTTATAGAACAACATGGTGATGTTGGAGAAATAGGGGATTACCTCTGAAAGCCCCATGGCTGTAAAATTTCTCTGCAGGTGTGAATCTGCACAACAGTGAATATATATGCAAGCCATTCCCCTTAGTTATTTGCTCAGTCAACAGCTCTGATCCACAGAGACATCATTCCAACAGGAAGCCTGCACAGGAACGAAATCCTCTTGGAGTCAGTCTCATGCATTTTTAAGGGTATACACTCACTTAGGTTTGCACATTGCACAGTTTTTGCCCTTGAGACATCAAAATTGCTAAACGCATTAGGGACCATGTAAATCACTGATCTGCAAAGCTGGAGTTGCAATCTTTCACACGGCTGCAGATATAAACAGCAAGCTCACAAGTAAAATTAAAGAAATTAGTAATAATATTGAGTATAGGGACTTTAATCTGCCAATCACTTTTTGTGCCATGTGTCTTTAGCAACACCACCATTACTAATTCTATCTGACAGAGAAAGAACAGATGCATGGGTTGAAAATCACAAGCTCTGACAGATTAAGATATTCCTTTCATACCCAGCCTTCAGTCAAACCATATTCAAAACTTTGAAGTCGGTTCTGATGCTGGGTGTCAAAGTGCTGTACAGTAATCTCCAAGCAGCCTTACTTGTGGTGCCCACTATTTTTGCATACAAACCTAAAGCACACAAAATGTAAAAGTGTAGTTTCTAGCAGCAGACATGTCCAGAGACTACTAGCGACAGTTAGCCAGAGACCTGCAGGGCAGCAGTGTTTAATGACGCAACACTGACCTTTGTCTTCAGCTGTGACTGAAAGTAAAATTGATTTAATGGAGCAGGGACTTGTGGATTTGTTGGACTGTTGCGTTCGGCTAGTTTATAACAGCAAAGCCCATTGACTGTGTATTTGAAGATTGGAAGATAAAAAGTAAAAAAGCTTAAACACTGTGAACAGTCAGCAATTAGTTCTGTCATGAGTGATGGGAGTGTAATGGTGTTTCAGGGCCACTTTTCATTGGCTCAGATTTCAGTTGTACCCCATTACTGCTTCATAATCATGCATTGATTTCTTATAGTTTAAGATCATTTGTGAAATCAAGTAATTGCTTCTATTCAGACCAAATCAAATACATAATTATAGTATTAACTATAAATATAGTTCCTGTTTAACAGCATTTCTCACACTAAACATGGTTGGATATATGAATGGTGCCTATAAATGTATTTAAAGAAAACATCCCTATGCTTACGTCATGTGTGTTTCTGACATTGTCACCATGTGCAAACCCAATACACTGATTGGTACCTTCACTGTATTGATATTATACCTGTCATACCACTGTCTGGAGCAAAGCTGCCACAGTGGACCAGCCCTCCGGAAGCCTCACAGAGCACCCGCTCTGCCTCACAACACTGCGTTTTACTTTATTAAACTTTATAGCAGTTCCAAGCAATCAATGTGTAATAAGAAAGTAAAAATAAAATATAACTGATGTGCTGTATGCTGCTGCTCTACCTGCGAAAAGGTGAAGAAAAAGAATTTGACAGCCTGGCCTTGGTCCCGGGTGCCAAATTTGAAATGCCTCCGCAGCTTATGGTTTATAGGAACAATTGAAGTTTCATGCTTTAGTCATAAATTGCACAATACCTTTTATGAAGTTATATGTGCACCTGCATTTGGAAATGCACCGAATCCAACACACAATCACTGTAGGTACACACATGAGTAAACCATGAAAATAAAAGTTGAAAATCATTTACAGTTCTATAAAATGTGATAAAGTGAGACAGATGACTGAGCTGAAAAACTTTCTTTATAAACACATTGTGACTTAACACCAGGCTGAGGGCTGTAAGCCCTCTGACCACACCCAACCCCACCTATGTAGTGCAACATTTTCACGAGGTGTTATGTCATGTACATTCCTCATCCTCGACTATGTCGTTTTCTTGCCCTTATATTTTGGCTAAAATAACACAATATGATGTTAAGGTGTGATTAACTGAGTGGCACAGACTCATTTACATTTATAATCACGAGCTCCACAAGCCCCTGGCCAGCTGCTACCCTAACTAAGCCTTAACTTTGGGTCCATACTCTTATTTTGAAATGTGAAATAATTGAGTAGCTACAATGGCACTCAGTGGAGCACAAACCTCTGACAAGGCCCAAAAGTCCCTTTCAATTGAAACAAGATGCACCACATTATTTTTATCAAGAATTATTCCCTGGGAAATCAATGAAAATGTCAAAAAGCAAGGAGGTGAGAACACAACAGATTGTAAAGCTATATTTGTACCAGAAGTTAAAATCTTGCAAATCACTGTATATCTGCA